GTGTAGAAATCACACCACTGAAGTAGTGAGGAGAAAAACTGAGGAAACCCCAGGACAGTTTTAGCATTTGAATATTGGAATTTTTAGTGTTGAAATCTATTTTCCAGTGGAAGGATATGATGTAACTTCTTATTCAGTCATAAAGTCTTTTTGGATTGCAACAAGAACACAGGTAATTCAAATGCCAAAGCTGTTTCGATCCTTGGTTAATGTGTTAGGAGGCAACTTCTGGTGGATCTCCTGCATGAAGAATAACTATGTATGCAGGAATGTACAAGACATTCTTCAGCTGGGGGCCAGAAGTCTTTACCTCAACTGGAAAATAATACATGTACAGTGTACATTGTCAATTTAAATATCATGTATTGTTTAGTAGGAACAGTGTTACTTTTGAAAAAATGTTAGAGAAATGATAAATGTCAAAAGTCAACAAGAACAGGCATACAACAATACAACCATTAAAATATTTAATGATTTCATACTAACATTTACAACACAAGACCTGTAACCCATCAAGTCAAAACCCAAAGTGAATCCACCCCAGGTCTCATCTAGAATAGTTGTACTTCAAAATGAGTTTATGAGTGATGTAATAAAATGATAAAAAGATGTACATCTAGTATAATAAGACAGTGAAATTATAAATGCAGAGCATGATTTGGAATGGCTGCATGAGCACACAAAATGCAGGGTGATAACATTTAATGGATTGTCTCAACTTGTAAATTGGAATTACAACGAAAAAGAACCTTCAATCTGTCATGGGATGAGAAGAAAATGAACTTGAAAACAGCATTTTCAGAATTAACTTACCTTTGCTGCTTGTGACAATTTAAATGTGGCGTCCCCTGGTATATCTTGTAACATTAGTGACATGTATTAGCCTGAATCAGTTTCTTGATTCTCTTTCAATAAACATACTCCTAAACAACAAAACAAAAGAACATGATGTAGAAATAAATAGGAAATTAAATAGTTTTAGAATTTGGCATAATCACATCATTACCTTCACTGTTTAGGGCAAGTTAAAAACGTGACGTCCCCTATGAATGTTGTTACATCAGTGATTTTTGCCGGTTCTAAAATATTAATTTCACTACAATTTAACGTGTATACTGTTTAAAACGGGTTATAAG